TGTGTGTGTGTGTGTGTGTGTGTGTGTGTGTGTGTGTGTGTGTGTGTGTAATTTATTTCAGGAACTTTCAGTGTAGTTTAAGTGGTAGATATAACGCCACAATTAAACTGTCTTATGAACAAACAGAACAAATACTCAAGCTCATGGTTCAGTGGACCTTGTACGGTCCATGTATTCAAAACAAGGTTGTGTATTGAATACACAACATTGCGCATGTGTATTCTATAATTTTATCTTCGTTTTTTTTTCTTTCACATTTACGTGTTCTTAAATCTTTCTATTTTTGATGACATACAGATACAGATTGCCCTTGATCTTATTTTGAAAATTACGCACCGGATATCTCCGTTTCCACTTTGGTGGTCCGACCAATCAGATCAGCCTGGGGGCGGAGCTTAGTCACAACGCTGCTACTTGTGTTAAATCGTGCCTGTCTGAAGTGAGTGCAGTGCAGCCGTCTGCTCCGTGGGCTACTGGTTTTATTTCATCCTGGTCTTATCCTGTTCTCGTCCAGCGTTACAAACGGGATGCTCCGGGCTGAGCAGCAGCTTCGAAAGAGGAAAAAAGGACCAGCGGTGATAACTCAAAGCTAAATTTCAGTCCATCAAGGAGTTTACGTTTCTCTTTCCTTTGTGGATTTGAAGAAGGAGACTGTTGTTTTTGAAGCTCCGGTAATGTCGGACGATTTTTAAAAAAGCACCTCCGCTTGTATTTTAGTTTCCATGCCGGAGACATTTTGTAGTGATATTTTTACTACTCCGTGTGGCTGTCAGGTTTATGAAGTGTCGTTAAAGTGCTCAGGAATGCCTACTTTTTCTCCGTAGCTCCATGTAAAACTACTTTTTTCCCCCTTTCCGTGCGGCTCTGCTACTGGATTAAACCAGGACTGTACTTSGGGTGTAAATGGATCGCCAGTCCAGTTTCATTTCCATCTGGCTACAACTGGAACTGTGTGCCATGGCTGTCCTTCTGACTAAAGGTAGGTTTAGACTTTGCTCTTCTGTTTTTTAGCCGCTTTATCCAGGATAAACAAGACTAAATGAAGGTTTCCGAGCGGTGCGTTCGCGGTCCTTTGGGGAAAATTAACATAAGCTTTTAAAAGCAAATTGAACTCCCAAAAAAAGGCTTTTAAATGTGACTATTCTCTGTAAATTAAGCAAAAAAATTGAGTTTTACGTGTTTAAAGTTCTTCTTAAATGGAAATATTTTTTAAATCGTCCACATAGTCTTGTTGTGTAAAACTCTCAATGCTGTTTTTGTTCTTTCCTTTTATTTCCAAAGTATCCTCAGGATTAAAATGAGTTTTAAGCGGTGCGTTCACAATCCTTTAGAAAAAACGTGTTTTACCTTGAAAAACAAGCTAAAATCCCCAAATTACTTTAAAATACGTATTTTAAAATCACACTAGATTCGAGCTTCATGCTTTAAAAAACATTTATTACATTAATATATATATTTTCAAATGGCACAGTTATTAATTTGAACGCATAATGCCGCATTTACGTTTTTATTTTATTTCAAAGCGCCCCGCGCTTTAAATCAACACATATTTTCTCCAGTGCTTTACTTTCTTTTACCTACTGTTTCACTTTCAATAACTCATTTCATAGCAGACCCAGCCGGGCTAAAACAGCTCAGCCCTGTGCCCCCCACCACCACCACTTCTCCCCCTTCTCCTCAGCCCACAAAAAGGGGCCTCTCTCTTTTCTAATGAAATATTCTCCAAATGACCTGCCTCAGCCCTGCTGCTCCAAACATTCACAGGGAAAACACTGATCTGATGATTGTGGTCCTGCACAGTCACAGAGGAACCACCACACTCACTTTTTTTTTACCCCCTCCTCTCCACTTGAAACTTCTGAGCTTTACTGGCTGCTCAGTGTTTGAGCTGAACAGTTACAGCTTTTTATTTTTAATTTTTTGCCTTTTTTTAAATTCGTTTTTGTGCACTGGGGCTAGATTACAGAAATGCCACTGTATCTGTTAACTGGATGAGTAGCATTTTAATGCCAGATTGACCTCAGGGAATACAAAGAGTGCATTGAGTTGTTGTAAAAAAATGCTGTTAACTGAGTGGATTTGTGTATCAGAAGCAGGCAGCTGTAATGATAAGGTTTAGACAAGCCCGCTGCCATCACACCCCTCAATCAAGCAGTTCTGACCACAAGTAAAGCTTTGCGTGCAAGTAAGGACGGGGAATAAAAAAAGAAGCTTCTCATCCCCCTTGTWTTTTTTTTTTTTGGTACACATCTCCATTTGAGTAGAGAGTTTAGCRAACGACCGCTAATTATAATCCACGCAGTTCTCCTTCTGTAATCCAGGCAGAAAGCTCTGAAGTCTCAGAGCRATTGGAGGCAGAAAACCGGAATATCCCCAGAGGTTTTGAAGCGGAGTGAATTTATGGCMGGGGCGCTTTTTAAAGAGCCAGGTTTCAAAGTGACAGAAATGTTTGCCACTGGCTGCGAGCGGCAACAAATAAAGTCAAAATAGCTGGCACCATCAAGGCCAGCTCAACTTTGATGTGAAAGAAGAACGAAAAGAAAAACAACTGTAAAAAAAAAAAAGTTGGAACAAATCTGTGTTTTTGTCTTCCACAGGGGAAATCAGGTGTTACTGCGACGCGCCGCACTGTGTCGCCACTGGATACATGTGCAAATCGGAGCTGAACGCCTGCTTCACCAAGGTCCTGGACCCGCTCAATCCCAACTCTCCCCTCACCCACGGGTGTTTAGACCCCACGGCCAACGCTGCAAACGTGTGCAGCAGCAGCAGCCAAAGGGCATGGGACCCTGTGAGCGGGGCCGCGGCGCTCGAGTGCTGCCATGATGACATGTGCAACTACAGAGGCCTGCAGGACCTGGCACACACCAGAGACTCACCAGGTAAGAGCTCATTCAAATTCACGTGGAGTTTTACATTTTTTTTATCTTCACTGCCTTGTTTCATCCTTCCCTGCTACAGAAGKCAAGCTGAGCTGAAGGGGCCAAGTTTAACCCTTTAAAACAGGGATAATCAACTGGCGTCTCATGGGCCACATCAGGCCAAAAGAAGTGACAAAAGTTCATTTGGTTCACTCATGAGGTCAAACCCCTGGTTTTCTACTTTAATAAGTTGTTTTAGTTGGACGTAAACGTGTGGAATCTACAGAAATGTCAGAATTTTGGCTAGAAGCTGGTAAAAAACCATTTCTATGAACATCCAAGACAGTTAAAACTACAAGCAGTTGAAGATAAAACAATGAAAGTGAAAATACAATTGGTTTAAAGTAAGAGATGTCAAAATAATATTTGTGGTAAATAAGAGGCTTGATGTGTTCTTTTTGTTTTTGAGATAGTTTAAATATCACTGCATTTATTAGCTAGGGTTCTGTATGTTGTATTTATGACTAAATGCAGCAACAAAACAGTTTCAAAGGTGACAGGTCTTTGTCATACTTGGTTTATTTACATGACTTGAAATGCTGGATGTTCGGCCCCTGTGCTGTTGGCCTGCAGAAGCTGTGAATAACCCTGCATTAAATAATAGTTTTTTTAATATTGAGTAGATCTTTAATTGCCTCCACCTCTGTGACTGTGAGAGCAGTGAGCTTACCTTAAAGCCCTTGGAACAGGATCAGATGTCTTCTGTTTTTTTTTTTTTTTTTTTTGGTTTGTTTTTTTTACAACGTGTGCACCATGTAATTTTCCCACTGAGCTGGAATGTGCCTCTTAGAAAGAATCTCCATGTCTGCATGTTGCACAGAAAAACTGGCTTTTTGAGTTGTGAGAAGGTAAACAGAAAGCTGTAAGAAGAGCAGCTCCCCTGAGGAGTGTTTCTGTTGTGACAGTGGGCCGAGCCGACTGTAGTTTATTAGCTCCGATTATTATCTGGCTTTGATTTTGGGACAAGGTGACTCATGTGTTGTCGTCTCCCTCACATCCTCCCTCCTGTCTGTTCTGCTCTCGCTGTGCTTTACTGCCTCTGAATGAGAAGAAACCAGGAAGGAAATGTCAGTTTGACCGTTCAAAATAATAGTTTTTCTCGTTTAACCCCTTCGGATTTTTTTTTTTTTTTTGCGTGTCTTTTGCAGACGGCCGGTACCAGCCCGACAACAGGAACCTGGTGACGCGGGTCCAGGAGCTGGCCTCGGCTAAAGAGGTGTGGTTCCGGGCGGCGGTGATCGCCGTGCCCATCGCCGGCGGCCTCATCCTGGTGCTGCTCATCATGCTGGCGCTGCGGATGCTGCGCAGCGAGAACAAGCGGCTGCAGGACCAGCGGCAGCAGATGCTGTCGCGGCTCCACTACAGCTTCCACGGGCACCACACGAAGAAGGGCCACGTGGCCAAGCTGGACCTGGAGTGCATGGTGCCGGTGTCGGGCCAGGAGAACTGCTGCCTGACCTGCGACAAGATGAGGCAGGCCGACCTGGGCGGCGACAAGATCCTGTCTCTGGTGCACTGGGGGATGTACAGCGGCCACGGCAAGCTGGAGTTCGTATGACTTCCTGTTTGGGACTACGTGACTGTCAAATCAGCCAGGACTGCCACATTCCTGACTTTTCAATCCATCCATTGGTTCGTGGTTTTTGCTTTTCTTCCAATGGCGATGAAAGGAGACTGATCTAGAGGAGCACTTTACTTGAAAATAAAAGGCAGAGCTGTATTTAAACTTGAGAGGTGGACTGAGCTCTGCTGCCTCCCTGAGGATCCTGGACTTTTTAACGCTGAAACGCTGAAGGATTCCAAAATTTTCTTATTTGCACATTTGTGACAAACGAAAGCGTTGACACAAGAATTTTACACTGACACCAGGGTACACACAAAGAAAGGACTTGTTAGAGGAGTTAAAAGAGATCCAGTGTTTTGACAGTAGGTGTGCACACTCCTCTGTAAGTTTGACTCAAGCTTATTGTAAAAAGTTGAAATATCTATATATTTTTGTTTGAAATTGACCAGCGTGTCTTGTTCTGAGTGATTGTTCAGCAGCTTTCTGTGATTAGACTAAAACGTTTGACTGTGTGTGTGAAAGGAGAAAAACTTCATTAAAAAGTGACTTTTTTATTTATGTGTTTTGACTCACGTTCGCATTTATTTGAGTGTTTTCACTTGAGCAGGATCAGAGGATGGACGTTGCTCAGTTGCAGCCGTGGTAGTTGAGTTTCCACGCTGCAGACTGGTGTGTCTTTGAACTAAACATAGGAACTCATTATTAATTCTTTTAATACCAGAGTTTATGCAAAACAACWATGTTGTCACATCCTGGTCGTTCCTCGTCTCTTCAGCCTGTTTATGATTGTCAACGTCAAGTTTTCTGGGTGATCCTACATTAACCAGCTGCTTTAAATAGTTTCCAACATRTTGACTCTGTTTTTAGGAAATTTATAAAGGTTTAAGCAGAACATTTTAAAGTAACRATCTAGACCTCCAACCCTATCAAATATTTATTTTTACATGATGTAAATTAAGTTGGATTGTGTCTCTGTTACACTGGATTGAAAACAATAGTTGTAGTTGCACTGTAATTTAAATGTGTTTTGTGCTTCAACAAATGTGGAAAAACTGTTTGGAGCCAGTAGTGATGTAAAAGTAGACTAAACAAAATAGTTCATTTAGTTTACTTGAAACTGCTGTCCAAATTTGTACAAATGACATCTTATTTGTCATTCAGGTTCATCTTTTCCAGGCAGCTACATTAATGAGAAAACTCAGCAAAAAAACTTTTTTTTGTACTTTAAAGAAAACCTCTAAGGGAGCAGATACATTTAGTAAAACGAGCAATACAAACCTGAATAAACACATCAAACTATAAGTTATTTAACAAAAGGTTTGAAATACAGATAAATTAAAAATCTAATATAATTCTGTCTTATGTGAATCAGTCCAATAAAAATAAACTTTGCACAAGAAGTAAGAAAATTYCTTTGTTGTAACAATGCTTCTTGGTAATAAATCTTACACCTTTGGAAGTCTGTTAATTTCCCTTGTAAATGGTGCCACATCTGTAAGGAACATGCATTTGTGGGATGAGCAGTAGAGCTGAGTATGTGGGTTGCGCACATGAAATTAGCCAAATCTACTACACAACTTATTTTATTGACACTTGTTTTGAGGTTCTGACACCCCCAGGTGCTGCCAATCAGATAGGAATAAATAAGATTTTTCTTGTCAAAAAGCACACAATAAAGAAATAATCTACCAAACACACATTTCTTTTAGTGCTAAGTTTATAGATATGTTTTTTCTTTTTACAGAACAAAGAAGCAAAAATGCACAAATGAAAGTACGAATATTTAACTTATAATCTTTCTGTCACATTTGGTGAAGCCCCACAAACTGGTTGTGCTCAGCCGGGAGGCAAACAGAAATAAGTCAAAACTTTTAAGACGACAGCATGTTTGAAGTCTGAGGTCAGACCTTTGTTCTAAACTGAACATTTCCATTTCTSAGGAGTCTGGCTCTGACAAGTGATGTGCTTTGGGGGAGTGGGCTTGGGTTGGGAAAAATAAAACCACACCTTTTGGTCACAGTGGTAAATGTGGCAACCACAACTAAAAYGTCTCATTCGAAAATGAAGGTCCGCTCTTCTGAAAAGGGCTGAGCTCCCACCCTTGTTTCTTCCCATTAGGGCAGGAAAACACTATTAGCAGCTAACCACTTAAAGGCAGCGTGAATTAGGGCGACGRGGCTCACGCTCTGGGCCTCCCTCAGGACCATTACCCCTGTAATAATAACAGTGTCCCCATGGCAGCCTAATGTGACATCTGTTTGCTTTAGCCTGATTCCACTGCTTGTTAAACCAAAGAGGTGCTAGTCACAGAGATGGAAAAAGGTGGTTCCACAAATCGGTGGTTAATCTGGATCTAAAGGAAACCCCAACAATGAGTGTCTTCTTTTAGTCCACATCGAACTGCTCTGTGCATTTGACCATGTGGTTGGGCTGCTTGGGGTAGATTTGGAGCTCTCTAGCTCCTTCTACTTCTTTTGCACGTATAAAGCTTTGGAACCAAAATCACTGCGCAGTGCATTGTGGGGGTGCTTTATGTCTTGCGCAATTGGCGCCATATTTGAATTACACACACAATAATAACATGCATTCCAGTGTTACAGCTGTATTCTCCTGCGTAATGCCGAAGAGCAGCACCAAATAAAACTGACTGTATCGAGACAAACTTCTCCCAGATGACAAAAACGATGGACGGAAAAAAAAAATAGCAAGAAGTGGAGCTGTCAACCAGTTTGGATTAAAAAAATTGGAACCAAGACCCCGACAATTTACCTCCACTCACATTCCCAGACGTATTTGCTCACTGGTCTGTGGTGCCAGTGCTTACACAGCAATTACGTTTCAAAATTACCAGTCAATGCAAGCGCACGTTCAATTTATCAATGTTTTAGGCCCATTATGTGAGCTCCCTTGCGTTGTTGTCAGGTGGGAAAGCAATGAAATGAGTCCGCAACAGGTTCCTACCATGGCTAAGTAGTATTAACCTAAAAACAGATTGGGAAAGTTTTGTTTTCAGCGCTTATGTACGCCGCTAACCACACCCACAGCAGTGACATCACAGCGACAGCACAATTAATGCTCTCTATGATCTGATTCTGGATCAGAGTAATGATCTCACTGTCCGACCAGTTGTTCTGTTTTCATTCCTCACTGCTTCTGTAGCTGTGTATCTAGCTTCTCTCTTTGAGTCATGTTTACTGGAAAAACAGAAAAGTATGATGGAGTTTAAAAGGACAATAAAAGTTAATCTTAGGTTTAAAACCTCCACATCTTTCTGAGCTCATAAATTATGCTGTATAAGTTTCTATAATTCTTTCCACACCAATTGGTTGAACCCGGCAAAATTGTGTGTGTACCRGTGTGTGTAAGACAAGTATACTGACAAATTCATGTTATTAAACATTGTTTCAATAAACACAGCAAATYATATGGTTTTGTCGCTTGACTTCTAACCCTAAACCTTAGTGGGAACAGACTGAACCAAACCTCTTCATAACCCAAACCTCACCTTCTCCTCAACCGACAAAAGAAACAATAAACTCCAAACCCTTTCCAATATAACTGGCTTCGGTTAGGTCAGTGCTTGAACCTCAAAATGTCCTAAAAGAAAGGCTCAGGAAGACGAGTTAATGCAGCGCACCAACATCCAGCAGCCAGAGCTCAGTCCAAACAAGCAGCTGGTCTCAGTCATTAGGATCGGTGTGTTTGTGCAGCACAAGCCAGTCTTTGCATTCACATGCAAATTTAATGAGGGGCCGACTGGCCTCCGTCAAAAGGACCCCAGTTTGTTACCGACACCACCACCAGTTTTTCATTTTCATTGTCGCTCTCCTTTGCTTTTTTTTTCTTACCGCCACCTCCTGAACATCCTGCATTCTCAGGTGGGCTTCATTCCTGCAGCAGTGTTAACAGCATGCAGTGATTTAAGCCAACACGAGGCTGCCTCTGTATTCCCACCCTACGCTCCCCGCGATGCTGTTATTGTCCCCCCCAAAAAAAGCCCTGCACTGTGGAGGCAGCAACATATGGAACAATATATGGAGTGTAAACACATATGGAACCTGTTAACACCTGAGCATGGTAATGGATGAACAGCCAGGGCAGTAAAAGTACGTTTCAGTGAAGCTTTGTACATTCTCYTTGGGCTTCCTCCTTTCTGAACTCCCTCAGTGGAAAAATAACATTTTGTTTTGATGAAGTGCAGTAAGAACTAGTTGTGAAAGTGTTTTTCTTTAAATTCAGATGTATTTAAAGCTAGAATAGTATTAGTAAAAACTAAAAGCATGGCTTTAGTCAATCATCACATTACAAATATACAGTATATATATA